TTCAAAGTCCTCATCAGTGTAGTTCTCTATCTTTTTATCAACAACAGTTTTAGCTTCATCATCCAAAGTCTTTGTAATCCTGACTGGACCTCTGACAATGCTCCTCCATATCTTGGCATCCTTCATTTGAATGTACTTCTCAATTCGAAATTTCCATTCGGGAAACCCATCAGCAGACATAACTCGTGGAAGACGAGTGGCAGTTCCCATAATAGAATCCAACTCCTAATGCATTAAACTGTTGTACTAGGATTCCATTTTAGTTAATAACACCGAGAACACCCAAAAATAAAAGTTGACTGAAAACAAAGAAAATTTGACCGAGAACTTGATGATTTCGGCTTAGAACTAATACCGAATACCAAGCAGATTTTGGTCTAAACGATGACCGAAAACCCTGAACTTTGACCAAACACCCATCGAAAACCATTTAAGACGTTGGAACCGAAAACCTTCAATTCTTATCAGGAAGTTACCGAAATCCGTTAAATTTCGTGATTGTAATTGATAAGGATCCAAGTTATAATCCCGAAAAATCAGATGAATCCACGAAGAACACGATGAATGCCAAGATTTCCAAGAACAGTTAATCGATGAACAACCAAAATTTTATCATTCTAAATCAAAACTTATCAATTTTTTACTAAACCAAAGATCTCACAATAGTTAAAAAAGAGTCCCCAAAGTCCTTGAATCGAATGATACCTTAACAAAGCTCTGATACCAATTGCAAGTCCCAAAACACTTATCTTATTAAGATATCAATCAGACTATCTAATGAATGCGGAATATAAATCAGATAGCGATTCAAGAGCAAATAATACTTAATGCACACAATTATATTAGATCAAATTGTTTGGTACATCAAGGAAACTATTAACAGCTGAATACCACAATGAATGAACAACAAGAACATGTAAACGGCTGAAAACTATTTATACACCAAGTACAAAGCCTTATCACGGCCCAAGCCCATCTGACCCAAAACACTATAGTGATTTCAGTCCCCAAAACCGAAAACCCAATAAGCTCATAATGTAAAGCCCAAGATCATTAAAAGACTAGAAGCCCAGGATAAACCATTAAATATGACCCAACACACACTTTATCGAAATACCCCTAGCCTCCAAAACACGAACTGAACACCCATATCACTTTAAATACATCCCTCGCACCCAAATGGGCCTAGATATTACCTTTTCAATGGCCTTAATCCTTATGATGAACGATCTTCGAGCCACAGCCTCGAATTAGGAATTGATTCGAAACAAGGCGCTACATAATCCATATAAATTAGGGCACATGAAACCTAGTTGGATCTATGTCTTTCAAGTAATGAAACATACTATGAACCCTAGGTTAAAAAAAATTCTATGATCTAATTATCTTATAAGAATAAGAAAACTAACCTTTAAGTTTGTTGTAGTAAACAATCTAGAATTCCTCCTTGAAAAACCTTTGGTAGCAAGTGCCACAAGTGTCGCGCCTCTAATGGTTTACAAACACACTTAGCAAGAGGATGAGATATGAGAGAGGATGATGAGGCTTGATATTTTCAGCTATTCCTCTAAGGAATCATGTTTGCCAAAACCAGGAGGAGTATAGCCCTTTATATACGTGTGTTAGCTTAGAGCCAAAGCTAGAGTTTTAAGGAGGAAACCCTAATTCCTTAGCTTAAGTCCTAAGCAGCCCAAGAACTGCATCTAAGAGGCCCTTGCACGAAATTTATAGGGTATTCCTAGAAGATTTCGTCCAACCCATCTAGGAGGGTTCTAGAGCCCATATCCAAAACTATCAATAAGTTTCCAAATAGCCCCTGCACTTTTAATTAACTCTTTTAATCCTAAAATTAATTCCAAATTAATTTCTGATTAAATATTAAGTAAATAATATATGTTTTCTAATTAATATATTATATCCATAATACATTAATAAATCATTTATTTCAAATTATTAATCAAATAGTAAATTCTTTTTCTTTCTCAATTGGTCATCTTGTCTAGTTGCTAGTATGAAGGCAACCCAAAAGGACTGTGCTATTAAGTCTAATCCCAACAGTCTTCCACTTGGATAAGTCTAATAATTATAACTGCCAGTATAACTACCAAATTGATCAGCAAATTGTAGCTACCAAAAGCCGCTGTCGAACTTTGACCCAGTCAGTGACATGTCCTAAGATAAGTGATCAAATATTCCTCCATTCTACAAGATATCGTGAGGACATGAGACATGGATTATAATCAATCTCAATGTCTAAATTTTGTTTCCTGATTTCTGATTTATGACAACTGAGATCAGACTACTAATTGATCACATCAATTCAGTCCAGGCTTGCCCAAGTGGTTTAGATGTCGACATCAAATCATCGAGGAGCCTACAAATATTGATTTTCCTGTTAGGGCAAAAGGAACGGATAAACTTCGACTCATATGCTTTTACTATTTACTCATCAAATCACGCACACCAATACGTTTTATATCATCAAGTTAGTGATGTGTTTACGTATTATCAATGCACAACTGACTTTTAAACAACAACTCATATCTCAATTTCAAGAATATAAGATATTATCGTCTCAAAATTACTCGTGATAAAATCCATGAATTAATTCTCTGAGCGTGGGTTTATCCAATACGCAAAATCCCCATTTCCAAGTACTTATGAACATTCCTGCAAAACCATTGCTATGTCTAAGCACCATAGACAATCTGCAATTCAATTAATGACAGTCGTAATTCGCTACTTACTTCCAAAAGTACGATCGACTGTGGATGTTTTGAATAATCCAATTATTTGGGAAGTAAAACATGCGAAGTGAAACACAATGATAACCTAATTAACTATGGTCTAAAAAATATAGAATATAAATAAAACTAAGTTTATTTAATCACCATATTAATTAGACTTTATTCATTGTATAATGTTTCGAATAATCAACTAAACATTTGAATTAAACATCAGTTATTCCATGTTATAAACATGCATACTATGTCTCTCTATGGTCCTTCCTTTGTGAACAGATCGAATGGACACTATTTCAATGAAGCTCATTTCACAATTTCTAAATCTTGTCACTACAAAAGTGTTAGAGTTCCAACCTTACATGCAATGATCTTTTGTAACATCGAGGATTCAATGTCACAGACACTTAGCCAATGATATTACAAAATGTTCCATTGAAACTTTGTTACTAAAAAAACAATTCCATGGAAATGAAGTTTCAAATTCATGATACACTCCTTGAACATCTTCATTGCATTAAAGTTCCTTTACTCACATGATGATTATAAATAACCAACTCCTGCTATGGATACATTTCCATATTCCCATATAACTATCAATTTTGACAAAGAATCATCTTAATCCAAAACATGTCAATATGGTCCGTCCAAATACTACCTACTGTCCACAAGCAACTAATCTTCAGCGAACCTCAAACTGCCCTTGGCAGTTGTTTAACAACTTTAGTCATACCAAGTTCTAGTCCTTTTTCCTTCTCAAAGCCCTAGGCATTTTGGAAAATCAAAACAAGTGCTTACTATAACATATGTAATCAATCCTATATCTGAAGCATATGGGATTCGATACATAATGTCTTACATAAAGACTTGATAGTCTCTTGCTATAATATTTCCATATATCAAATTTCATATGTTGAATAATTTCAACATGATATGCATATATGTCCAAGACTACGTTTTATTAAAACTTTAATCTAAACTTTTAGATTTGAAACAACGTATCAGTGCCCTCTCCCCCAAATTTTATTATAGCGAAACCATTCCCAAACTTTCCAATTTGCAAAATTTAAAATCTTTGTTTCCTACAACTAATATTGCCAACTTGCAACACTTAACATAACAATTATGCTCCCATTAGCATAACAATTATGTTCTCACTAGCATAACAATTATGCTCCCACTAGCTTTGACATGTATCCAGAAATCAATTGGACTTCTAGAAATCAATACTTTTTGACTTTCTTACTAAAGTGCAGATTTATGATACGTAATGCTTCGATAAGTCTTCAGCAACACTTCTCAAGCTCATACACCTTTCATTTGATAATATATGTGTGTGTTTAAACCCTTTCAGAACTTATAGCTATAATTCCTGGACGTTCAAACAATTTCTTGCCATTTCTCTCACAATTGGAAATATAAAAAGGATTTCGTAATCATATGTGAATTCGAGAACGCGATTATCACAACTGCTAACCATAATGATATTAATCAGATTTAAAATCTACTAGCGAAAGTGTTTCCTCATAATCATTTTCATGAATTAGAGCAAAACCTTTTGCCACTAAGATGTTATGGTGTATGTGTTCCCATCCATATGAATCTATCATTAACCTAAAATCATAAGATAAGCTTGAGGACAAAACCAAAATCAAATTTACACTACAAGAAAAAGACCCTTTTACGACGCGCAAAACACGACACTCTTTGAGTTATGTTACGCAAAAGAGAGTGACATTAAAAAAGTGTCATCTCTTCAAAAATTTTAAGAATTTAGGTCGCGCATTATTGCGTGCCCTTAAATTAGTGTCTAATGTAAAAAACTTAAAAACACGGAGGGCACTTTATATAAAATATGCGTCCTCTCAATAATTGTCGCCTAATAATTTTAATGAAAGGCGCGTTTAGTAGATACTGGGGGAAAATGCAATCCCCAAAATTTTGGAGACCCGCCTTCTTTTTTATCCTCCACTTTTGTTTCCCTCTTGCCCTAATTATGATGCTATCAGTTTTGCCACAAAGTTCCGCCGTTCCAAACTCGCAGATGATAAGTTTCCATCGAAGAAGACGACTGTAAAACACAATCATGTTTTTCGATCAGGAATCGGTAGGGAAGCATGATAAAATGGGGATGAATCATGTACCTTTGAAAGATCTAACTCCCGAAGAACCAAAAACCCTGACTCTTAATCTACTCAAGAACATGGATCCCAATGATTCGCATACAATAAATCACGAGGTCAAATCGTGGTTGAAGTCATGTACAAACCCTTCGGAGAAGACCAGATGCTGACTGACGTTAAAGAAGTTAGTGCGATGCAGAAAGCTCCAGTGGGAATTCCGGAGGGCGGCGGCTTGCTTGTTATAATCCATGAAGGCAAAAATCTCGAAGGAAAACATCATACAAATCCTTTCGTTCGTGTGCTTTTCCATGGGGAAGAAAAAACAACTAAGGTTTGTTTCCCAAATTCAAAATTTACGCTAATTGCTTCTTAAATTGCGTGTTATTTTACAGTTTTTTGGGTGATTTACAGGCGATTAATTTTGTAAACCCTAAACTTCGATTGTATGATTTAGGGTTTTAATTTTTCTTTTTTTTCAGGAATCTTTGGGTTATGTTTGAAATTGTCACTGGAGGAAGTAAGGGCAATGGAAGATGATGAAGGGCCTTCAACGGTTCTTTGTTTATTACACTGTACGTATCAGTTCTAGAGTTCTTATAAAAAAATTAGGTCATCTGTACCCTTGTAAGCAAGCATTTAGATTATTTACATGCTTTTCACTATGAACTTTTTTAAATATAATTTATGTTTGATGTTCCTATAGGAGGTTTGAGGGGAATTATTTTAAAGGTTCAATACCACCTTCATTTTCTAATCTGGCCCTTTTACAGGAGCTGTAACCTTTATCAAATGATTTGGAGGAGTGGCATCAAAACCCTGAGTCTTTCCACCATGAGCAAGATGCAGTTCTTTGTTTTATTTCACAATCATAGCCAAGTAGGTTTAAATTTAATTAACATTTAGTTTTTTTTTTATTTCCTATTTTTGATTTCTTTTTGTGCTTCCAGCTGTTAGGACCTGTTTTGTTTCAATTCGTCAAGAGGCAATGAGTGGTTGTCTTCCTTCAATAACTGATATGACTTTTTTACCCTTCCAGACTTTTTTAAAAGATGTTGCTTATGGTGAAGCTGCATATATTTATTATAAGCTGTCAAATTATCTCAGCTTTAAGGATTGGCGTGACTTTTTTACCCTTCTAGACTTGATATATCTGTTATCTATATGATACTAAGACCTTGTTTCTTATTTTCCCATTAAGTGTTTTGATTTTTTTTATCTAGAATATTTTTTTAAGATGAGTTATACTTTTGTTTGTGTGAAATTTGTTCAGGTTTGACAATACTTTATCATTGGGACTCACAAATGATCATCCCAACATGCGGATTATACATAGGAAAGTTCCCCTTATTCTTGGTCAATGGGTTTCTAAGGTAATCTTATTGTGTTCTTGATTTTTTTTAAATAATACATTTCCTATTTTGTTGATTTAAATTATTCCTTACATAAAGCTTAAAACTAATGAAAGCTTATATACTTTTTTCTTGCAAATGACTATGTTTATATATAGATAACTAAGTACAAACTCGTTTTAGTGTCCACAATAAATACAAAGTTCAGTTGTGTTTGGTAATTCTTTGTCACATTATTTGTTTTATTATTTTCTTTTTTGTAATTTGTTTTTGCAGATTAAAGATGACAGCAAACGACCAGTCTATTGTGCTCTCATCAGGTTGCTCCAGGACAGAGACTTGTGTGTTAGGGTATAAAGTATAATTCAGCCTTTTTTTATAATAAAAAGATTCCATTTTTTTACAATTGCTTTATGAAGCTAAACTATACAATTATCTCCAGGGAATAGGTTAGTTAATGTAACATTTGCTTTGCTTAAGCACAAATACTTATATACAATATGTTCTCTAATTCTAATTCGTACTTTCATATCCTACAGTTGGAATTGCTGGCATCCATTGGTTTCGAGTTGATGTTCAGGACAATGTGCTTGTTCTTGACCTTCTTGGGCCTAGTCTTGAGGATCTATTTGTGTATTGTAGTCATTTCATATATCTGGTTAATGAGTTCATTCGTAGCTGTTTTAAATGGCAATATCCAACCAATCTTTCATGAATTTTTTTGTTTTGTTTTGGTTCTTGCTTCTCACAACACATGTTTTTAGGTTTTCTATGTATGGTTTGATGCACCTATTGGATACGTATCAATTACTAAAAGCTACACACCTGAATGGGAGAAGTGGTGGAAAAATCCTGAAAATGTGGAGCTATATCAGTTTATGGGAAAGGATAATGTTCCATTTCACACTGTAAGTGTATTTTTTTAAGGTACAATTTCTTCATTATTATTATTCGTATCTGTCTCTTCAAAACAAGAGTCTTAACTCTTAAGCCCTTAAGCCCTTAAGCCCTTATAGTCATATAAGGGAATTTTGATTATTGACCTTTTGTAATGTTTTTTGTTTTACATTCCTTTGATTATTGACCTTTTGTAATGTTTTTTGTTTTACATTCCTTTTACATTCCTTTTGTATTGTTTTTTGTTTTACATTCCTTTTGATTATTGACCTTTTGAAATACATATTTTGGAGCTTGAATTCCAAGGTGTCAATGATTCGATGATGAGTTGGTTCTAAGAAATTGTTGCCTGGTGTCGATTTCTATCAATGATGGTCCTGGATGTTTGACTTTGAGATACCGAATTCCATCATGTGGTGCTGCTGTTGATGTGGACATGGTCAATATGAATTGGTAAATGTCCAAACTACCCCTTCACCCTTGTTACATGTTATCTGTCTCTTTGTACATGTCTTTCTTGTTTTGATGTTTGTATAATGATTTTTCAGGATTCTAGCAAATTCTAGGCCTTGTCCAAAATGCAAGCGTCCAATTGAGAAGAATGTAAATAACATCACTTTTAAAGCACCATTTGAGATTCCAGCATCTTTGAAAGTCAAAGATGAAAAATAAAGAACAGCATTAATGCCAGCAAACTGTTAAAGTACAAAAAGACTGTCTCCAAACAATGCCACTACAACATTAAAAGAGTAAAAAATTTGTAATTCATTTAAAATTTTACATACAAACACAACACAAAATATTAAAACAATAATGCTACCTTTAGAATGTGGCTCTTATAGAAGTTCTGACCATCTGCTGTCCAAATCACCACCATCATTTTTAAGAACAGACTAAAATTCTTCAATGTTTTTATCAACTTCCGATGGGCCCCACAAGTTAAAGATAACTTCTTTAGCTTTATCAAGCCTCCCACCCTTCACAATCAATCAATACAATCTTTTGAAATCCAGCATGTCAGTGAGCTCTTTCACTTCAATAATTAAAATAATAGTTGAATGTTGACTATTATGTTATTGATTTCAGGAGCAAACGCAGATGACGTCTGTGGACCGAATGGCACGTGCAAACATTCCATCTTTGGCTGCTATAGAGCAGATGCGAATGCTAGCACACACTTTAGCTCAAAACACCAATCCAAAGTTTCAGGTTGCTTTACTTACTTTGAATTAAAATGTTTTTTTTTTATATAATCAGGATATTATTTATTTGGTTTGGCAAATAATATGCAGAACTCCAAGTTCCTTCAGTTTGTTTCAAAGATGAGTCATGGGGAATGACTATTGAGGATAACCAAGTCAGGCCTGAAAGTGGGGACTGGGCAAATGAATATCAACAGCAATATAATGCAAGTAGGGACTGGGAAAATGAATATTTTAATCTTATCAACAGGTATCCAATAATCAATGTGTATGAATGTGTTGGACAAAAAGATTTCATTTTCAACCATGTCTATTATTAATTAGTTGATACATACATACATACCATGTGTATTATTAATTAGTTGATATTAATATTGTACAACTTACATGATTATTGTGTAGGATCTTCGTGGTGTTCTTGATCAAGAGTTGGTATTGATATTGAAGCTAAGAGACATGATGATTGGTTGGATACATGAAGGGTTTCTGAGCTTCTTAAGACAGGTTAATGATGAGTTACTTAAACAAGAAGGTGCCTCTTTATAGCAATGTAGTCTTAGGTTATATAGTTAGGGAAAACCTCTTGATAACAATGTACAATCGGATCCCTTTAATATCAATGTATTGCAGTTTTTTGACATGATGTTATTGGATGAAATTTATTGTTTTGGTATATATTTGTTTCTATATTTTTGTATTATGCGTAAAAGAGTATCCTAAAGGCACGTCGTATATGCATATCGTAAATGGTTGCTGAAGTTTATGACACGCAAATGCGTGTCATCTTCATTTATGACAGGGGCTTTAATGATACGCAATGCGTGTCCTAAACGCGCGTCGTATAGTTACAACACGCAAATGCGTGTCGTTTTCCTTTATAACAGGGCCTTCCTTGATACACATTGCGCATCGTAAATGCGCGTCGTAAAAGTGTGTCATAAATGTGCGTCGTAAATACGCGTCGTCTATAGACGACGCGCAAAAATGTGTCGTCACTCGTTATGACAGGGCCTTCCTTGACACGCATTTGCGTGTCGTCTGAGCGTTTTACGACACGCATTGCGCGTCGTAAAAGGCTGTTTTTCTAGTAGTGTTAGTTTTCCTTTCATGGACTGAACTTTACTTATTCTTAAATTGTCACCTTCTGGTAGCACAAGGGCCTACCAGCGCTTCCATGTTGTTAAGAAGCTCACCCATATTGATCAATGTACTTTCACTGACCAACGCGCTCTGCCTTTTGTAGTCACATGAGAACCATAGAACTCATGAGCTTTGCCAACTCAACTAGAAGGTGCACAGAAACAATAATGTGTCAAATAAACACAATAGGTTGTCAACCTCAGATCGTGTGCTAGTGATAACTAAAAAGGTTATTCTTGATTTACACTTGAAACCTTTCAAGATCAATAAGACTCCCACTGACTTCTTGACATATAAGTTTTTTTGTTAAGAAACATTCCTCGACAAGCAAAAAACAAATATTCAAAAGTCAGTATGTATTTTTTTCAAGAAAACCCTTCATTGAATTGGTCTTAGTTCATCATTGTTTTTAAAAACATCACAACTACCAATTCCAAATGTGCCAGAGTAAGAAAACACTATTACTCCATATTTTATGAGGTGTTATCAACCTACTTAGTACGAAACAAGCTTCAAGATACGATGTGTAGTTACTCAAGTATGACTCTATGTCACACCCCCAAACTGGAACGGCGAAAACGTTCGGGGGCGGAGGACGTCATGTTTAGTATGACAAGACATGTATCATAGAAATCAAAGTAACTAACAACCATTTCATTAGAAAGAAAGTGTTTACAAAGTATGTGGTTCACATAAGATAAACTACAAAAGTAAATAACAGAACAAGACATGAAGCTACTATGCTCCATCTTCTAAATCCTAGTGCGTGTACCTGTGTACTGGTTTCCTGAGAATACAAGTTATTGTGAAAGAGTAGATAAGCATTTAATCTGGTAAGTTCATAAGTATTTTAGTGATGTAAAGTAAGTTGTAAGTTCTTTTAGAAAAGTTCGCCTGTTCCTCCAGAAAATCCTATATCTTGTAATATGATGAAAGATAAGTAAAAATGACTCTACAATCCCTTCTATTAGCACAAAATGGATACAAGTTATATAAAACCCAGAGTAAACAAACAATTGATTGTGTGTATCTGCCCTAAGCCCACAACCAAACAAGGAACAGGAAATGAGGCTGAAGTCACACATCCCATTGTTTGTTAGATCTTCGTTGTATATAACCCTGGCGTATTCACTTGGTACTCATGAAGTTAACTGTAATAGTTCCTTTATATTTGATGAAAACATTCTTTAAGAAAAACCCTTTAGTAAAAAGGGTAACCACAATAGTTCCTTCTATAATCATTTAGTTTACACTAGTTATATATAACCTAATATCGGACGAATAGTTAATTGTATGAATCTGCGCTAAGCCCACAACCAAACAAGGAACAGGAAGTAATGTGGAAAGCAGACATCCAACTACCTATCAGATATTACTTATATATAACCCTAATGTGTAAACTAAGGTATTATAGAAATAACCACTAAAAGTCCTTTAAGTTATAATGGTTTAATAAAGTGGATTAAACCCTTTCACGGATAAGTTTCTAGTTTTGTCTACCAAATGTTCTATTTGAAAACTATGTTTTGTGCTAGAAAACGGTGCATTGAATTTGTATACTATGACCTGACCCATACCTAGTACTCCTTATGATTACTTGGTGTATACGGAATATATATATATATATATATATATATATATATATATATATATATATATATATATATATATATATATAAGATCGAATAGATAGTAGACTGGGTGAATCTGCTCTAAGCCCACAACTAAACAGGGAACAGGAAATGAAGCGGAAAGCACACATCCTACTGCCTGTCCGATCCGATTAATATATATCCCTGATGTATCTACCGATGTAATCACAAAGTTTGCATTATAGTCCCCCTTCTAACTGGATGCACTAAGACTCGACTGTTCTGCCTGTCGCTTGTAATGATGTAAGTTTTCCCTAGTTTATAACTATCTTTACTAGAAAATAGTATGCATTACCTTTTATGTGAAAATATCACAATATGAATGTAATGGGAAAATGAAAGTATGCAGTAGTCTTTTAAAATGACTACTGAAGTACTGACTACCTTAAAACAAGTTTGTTCATTAAGGTTAAAATGTGATGAGGTTGTAACCGTAGTAATATGACATATGTTTAACACGAAGACCTTATGGCACCGAAACTGATGTGACGTTTGTCACCCGTAGACCTGTGTATCCCACTGTAGCTAGCAACAAGGTGTGGGGTGTCAATCCCGTATAGATTTATACACAAACTCATGCTCTCCCTCCAGGAGACTCTGGTTACAAAACACGACATAACAAGTATATTGCTAAGTCGTGAAGTAGTGGTTTCACATTTTTCTTATCTTGTTCTTGTTATAGTATGTTCTCTCTGTTCTAGTGTATAGTATGTTCTCTCTGTTCTAGTGTATAGTATGTTATCTCTTTTATAGTGTAGTATGTTCCTCCTTGTATTAGTTATAGTATGAACTAAACCCCTAAACTATACCTACTATAATTTACTGGTATATTTACTTGAACTGTACTGACTTTGAAGAAAAGACTCATTTATCTACTTAGTTATGATTGTACTTTAAAAACAGAGTTTTATAAACAATAAAGTAACATAACTTTAAAGGAGCTTTTGAAATGATTTGATCACTTATAAACACATAAGCAATCCTTTAAAATGATGTTTATCACAAAACATTTACACAATTATCATTGATTTCAACTTGTATTCCCCCCCCCTTAAAAGCATTTAAAACATTTAAAAGATTGATTATCGGAGTATGAACTCACATTATGTGGGCGATTCAATCGAATATGCGCGTAAGGATGAGAATTTCCACGGATAAATTCTCGAGACACAAACGAGTCCTAATTGACATATAATGGCATATATAGGCATGTAATTAGTGTTTAAAACAACTAACATGCAAGGAAACTACCTTAGGGACTAGGAAACACTTGAAATGAAGTGTTGAAATCACATGTGATTGATCAAAGGGAGTTTACGGCCAAAGGGAAGTGTTCACGGCCCAAATGGATGAAGGGTTCATGGCCCATTGGAGTTCACGGCCGAATATGATGAATGGTTCACGGCACATTGGAGTTCACGGCCCAATATGATGAGTTTATGAAGGGTTAACGACCCTATGAAGGGTTCACAGCCGTGAACACTTCAAACTCATGAATATGGTGATGAATTTTGAGGATTCAAGGTTTGGATCTAGTAGTGTTTCAAGTATAACAAGATTAGGGATGAAACACTTACGTTTTTGAAGCTTTAGGGTGTTCACGGTTGAAGCTTTTTGATAGAGAAAGGGTGGGTTCACGGTTGGGAGGAGCAGAAATGAGAATAAAATGAAGTCCCTCTAACATATATGGGAGGTAGTTCACGACCGTGAACCTAGTTTACGGCGGTGAACACCTTGTGAGTGACTTTCTGGTTCGAATTTATCCTCCCGATCTCAGGCTAACACTTCCTAACACTCAATCCTTAAGTGTACTAGGCTTAGAACTCATTAGAATGACCCTTAACAAGGCTAAAAGGCAACAGAAACAAGGCTGACCTTTGATTGAATTGTATGGCTGTACAAGATGAAAATTTCGGGTTGTCACATCATCCCCCTGTTAGATGGAATTTCGTCCCGAAATTAGCTTTCCTAGCGGTACTCCTGGGGTCGTGCTCCTCTGAATGACAAAATACTCACTCGTAGACCTGTGCAACTTTCCCTGACGTTTATTATAAGATTCATACTTGGTCCATCTATCATCATCTCGTGTATACAAGTCGTATATAATTAAGATTAGTAAGACGGTCGGATATGCGACTCTGCCCCAGGTCCATAACTAAACAAGGAACACGAGATAGGGCGGGCTGCATTCGTCCTTAGCCTCTGTGCTTGAACTTGATCTGTTGGACGAGTGGTAGTTCGGGAAGGTCTGCTGAATACGCGACGACAAGGTTCTAGAGGGAAAAGCACTCCTCGCATGAGTACTTCGGGGTTTAGAATACAAGGTACACGATTCTGAGGTCTAGGTCGGGCTGTCGTTATGAATGATGAGGGTTTCGTGAATTTGACAGTTAAGGCGATGGAAACATATGAACTTAGTATGGTGAGGACCACGCCAATTCATGACGAATGATAGCAACGGACTCTTTACTGAACAAAAGTTTGGCCGATTTGAAAGAAACGTTCGTTATACGACGGTGTATCTCTAGTGTGCTCGACAATGTACTCTGTGTAGACTTTCTAGTGCTTTCTGTTTTCTCCTTGATGTTAACACTTCCACGTATCGTACCGCGATGAGTGAGTACTTACAGTGAAAGTGCTTTGATAACAAGTGTTGGTACTTTATATTACGATCCTCCTCGGTACCACTATGATCTCCTGGCATATACAAGTTATGTATAATTAAGATGAATAAGACAGTCGACTAAGTGGCTC